TTCCCCAGGAGCTTCTGGTACCCGCCCCAGTTTTCGAGCCATTGGTGTTATTTTGCCAAGGAGGAGGAGAGAGAAATTCTACCAAATCAAGGAAGCAAGTTTCTTAGACCCTCGCTACTCAAAGTGTGGTCCAAGGCCTGCAACGACATCTCTTGGGGCTTGTTAGGAGAGCAGCATCTCAGGCCCAGCCCCTGACCAGTTACTGAGTCAGATTCTGCATTAACTAGATCCCCGGGTAATTCGCAGGCACATTTAAGTTTGAGAAGCATCTTCTTAGAATAAATGCAGTCTGTGGTTAAAAATAGGGTCGCCAAGGAGTCCCAGCAGAATCTTCTTACACTTAACTTACCTCATCTCCACATCAGAAAAAGAGGTTGAGGAAAACACTGCAGTTGAGCACAGAATTGTGCTCTGAGCTTCCTGACACAAAGGCAGATTCAGCTAGTTAAAACACATGAGCTCAGCAAAAACAAAACCGTGTCCTATAAGTGCGTTCTAGTGAGGGTTATGTTACTTATAAGGAGCACTGGAAAACAGTAGACAGTCCAAGGCAGTTTTGCAAAAGATGTAGAAATGTTTCTCCTGCGGGCAGCCCTCCTGGAGTCTGTACAAGAAGAGCCATTCAGCATTCAACAAAGGTGCCAGGCTCTGTTCTAGACACTGATGCTGCAGCCGTGAACAAAATTCAGGCTCTGTCCTCGTGGAGCTGACATCCTGATGCGGGAGAAAATAAGTGCAAACATCGCAATCTATATAAGTGCAGTGAAGAATAATAAAGCAAGTTACAGGGTTGTTGAATTTTGTTTCATTTTTCCCTTTGGGGTTAAGATTTTTATTTTGTTTATAATGCATTTGTGGGGAAAAGTATGATCACTTGATTAACTTGCATCTAATGATGTGGGACATTTGAAAGTGGAAGTGCAAAAAAGTTCGAAAAATGACACTCCCTTCAAGGCTGTCTTCTGCAAGTCTTCAACATGGTAGGCACGTTGAGAAGGTGAGGAATTTAAATGATGAGGTGTCAGGTTTTCATCATCACGGGTTACACTAGGTGATTTACAAAGTGGTGGGGGAAACGGCAAATGGGTGCAGCCGTTTTACAGATGAGGAGACGGAGGCGCACAGAGGCCAAGTAACTTGCCTCAGGTGGCAAAGCTAAGATTTGATTCCAGGCTTGTCTGATTCCACTGTCCTTGCTTTTAAGTACTAGGCATAATGCCTTTACTCCTGGAGGCTGCCCTCCTCCTACGCCTTACTGGCCAAGTGGCCTTGGGAAAGTGCCCTGAACTTGGTTCAGTTTGCTCATCTGTATAATGCCTAACAACTCATAAAGGTATCTCGAGGGAACCAGGCGTGTGTCACCCTCAGATTTGCAGCCCTGCCACCAGCTACCGTCTCCCGAGTGCTTGCTGTGTAACACTTCACATATATATTTTTTAGTTGCCCCAGGAGTTTGGCTTGTTAGGTATAATCCCAGCCTTCCAGATGAGGGGCCCCTGGTCACATAACTCAGAAGGATAGAGCCAGGATCCCACCCATTTAAGATTGCTAGCCAGTGATCTTTTAAAATTTTAATTAACGCTGAACCAGAAGAAGCTTTTGCTTCAAGGTAGGGCCCCAGTTTCCTGGATCTTTTGTGCAGAACAACATGACAAATACCAGTTTTGCATTGGTCCCCTCTGGGGATCTGGGCAGTTACAGTTTCAGAGCTACTGTGTCAAAATGAAGAAACACAAAGCAGGTCTCAGGTACCCACTGGCTCTCCGGGAGCCCCCAGGTGGTGGATCAGGTCGGTCTGCCCAAGAGCCACTTTCTCCTTGGTCCTGGTCCTCGGTAATGAGGTGTGACCTAGAAAGCCTGGCAGGCCTCAGGAGACACTCAGAACCTCGAAGCACGATTGTGAAATCCGCACGGACTCGGGCAAGTTGAGACAGGTTTTAGGCTCCCAGGAGTTTAAAAGGTGGTTAACAAGTCATTCCTGTTCTAATTACAGATGGGCTTTTAGTTCACTGTGCATTTTACTAGTTCTGAAAAATCGTCTGAGGACAGGTATGTCACCTGTCTGCACCTACAGAAATGGGAAGCTGTACTTTTGACTTCCGGGGAGAAGAATGTCAGTGGTACCGGGTGGGTAACAGTCATACGAGGGCTCCACTTCCGCAGTGTCTTCCATGCGCCAGGCCCTCAGTGCCTCACACACGTTCACACCCCCTAACTACCCTGCAAGCTTGGCACTGTGACCCATCTTGTTTCCTGATGTTCACAATGGCTGTTTGCATACAGCCTTGAAAAGTAACTGAGTGGTAACCCATAACTCAGATGAAAAACGTGGTCCAGTGAGGTTTTGGACTTGAACCCAGGTTTATCTGAGTAACCAAAGGAGGGGTCATAAATGCAGATATATCCAGGGATGGGGCAGGTGACAGAAATGGGAGCCGTGGCCAAGAATGTGCGATGAGCCTGTTGGCAGATCTCCAAGTGCCTGCTCCTTTAAAAGAGAGGTAGCCCGGCCAAGAGGGAGAGTGCCAGCTGCTGCGGAGCAAGCCTGCCCAGCGCTACCACGGTGCAGGGCAAGTCACTTAACTGCTTGGTGCCTCAGTTTCCTCATCTGGAAAATGGGGATAATACCACCATCCGCCTCATGGGGTTGTTACTAGGATTAAATGAGTGCAAATGGATAAAGTACTTAGCACAACACCTGGCTCCGAGTGAGCTCTGTGCTAGTAACTTATTCCGAGCCACATTTAAAAAATACACAGTGCAAACCTTGAATATATTATGCTAAGTGAAGGGAGCCAGACACAAAAGCCCACATATTGCATGATTCCGTTTATATGTAATGTCCAGAGTTGGCAAATCCATAGAGACAAAAAGTAGGTTAGTGGTTGCCAGCGTCTAAGGGGAATGAAGAGTGACTGCTTAATAGGTACCAGGTTTCCTTTTAGGGTGATGGAAATGTTCTGGAACTGGATAGAGGTGGCGGTTGTACAACCTTGTGAATGTACCAAGAACCACTAAATTGTATGCTTTGAAAGGGTGAGTTGTATGGTATGTGGATTATATCTCCGTTTAAAATAATTCACTGCAGTCCAAGCAGAACAGATGAGGGAGGTGGCAGCATGTGACCCCTGGGTTGGGATTGGTCTTCAGGGCCCCTGAGTTTGGTCGGGCCAGGGAGAGCCAGAGCAGAGGGGTCCCCGAGTGCTGGTGGCGCTGGGATCCAGGCAGAAGCCCTGTGGGCTGACTTGGGCTATTGGGTTTGAGCCAGACAGACCCCTGGGGCACCTGCAGGATTGGCCCAGAGCTACTTAACCCTGCTTGCCTGAGTGCAGCAGTGGCCCCTGCAAAGGTGCATCCTGGGCAGGGGGGACCTTCCCTGCCCTGCATGGCTCAGGGTTGCCCTTATGCACCCGTCATTGCAGTGGACTGACAGGGTCTAGGGACTGTTGGCCTTTTAGTCTCACCTGTTTTGACTGGTTTGCAGCCCCTTCCTCACTGTCAAAAGTCACATCCCATCCCCTCCATCATTTTGGATACCAGGTAACAAAAGTGTGTGTGTTTCTTAAACACGTGCACACACAGAGAAATCACCCAAGAGTCAGTGTTAGCAGGCACTGGGGAGGGGCCTCCAGCAGAGGTGATGGCGATGAGGGTGATGAGGCTGTTTGGCAGCTCGCAGGGGAGCAGCTGATTTTGGTTTCTGTGAGTTCAGGAAAGATCCTTTCCAGGCGCACTGACTTTCCCGTTCTGGGTTCTTCCCCCGCCTGGTGATGGCGCTTTCCCTGCTGTGTGTCCACTCGTCCCCTTTGCACTCGCTATGTATTCCTCTGCTGCTCTTGGTGTGTGGCGGGGAGGCCCGGCTCTGGAGGTTCCTGTTCCCCAACCCAGGCTCGGCCCTCCCTGAGGCTGGCTCACAGGTCCACTGACTGGCCAATCTTGGTTTGCATGTAAAAGCCTAAAGTCATCCTAAATGCGTAATAGAAACAGGGGAGAAATCTTTCACGCAGGTCAGTGTTCCAAATGGCCCCCAAAGATGTCCATGCCCTAATCTCTGGAACCTGTGACTGTGGGAGGTTACATAGTGATTTCGGCCGGCAAGAGGACCTCAGTCTTTGTCTTCTTTGAGGAGAGAATTCAGCAAAGAGACTAAGACTGCAAAGCAGGTACAGACTTTATTAGAAGCACAGTACATGTGGGAGAGCACACAGGCAAACTCATGGAGTAGGGGTGGCAATGCCTTGCGCTCTGCGGTAGCTTAGGTAGTTAATGTGGGGTTAGTCTTCTGGGGTTTAGATGAGGGTGACCCTCCTTTTTTCTTCCCTATGATCATGTCATCTGCAATTCCTTATTTAGGCTTCCACCAAGCACTGTTTTTTTTCTTTAATAAATTTATGTATTTATTTTTGGCTGCTTTGGGTCTTTGTTGCTGCACGCGGGCTTTCTCTAGTTGCGGCGAGCGGGGGCTACTCTTCATTGCGGTGTGAGGGCTTCTCATTACGGTGGCTTCTCTTGTTGCGGAGCACGGGCTCCAGGCATGTGGGCTTCAGTGGTTGTGTCACGTGGGCTCAGTAGTTGTGGCTCGAGGGCTCTAGAGCGCTGGGTCAGTAGCTGTGGCACACGGGCTTAGTTGCTCCGCAGCATGTGGGATCTCCGCCCCTCAAGCTCCAGCCCCGCACGCAGGCTGCCGTCCCGCCCCTCGTGCATAGGCCCCGCCCCCGAGACTGCAGGCTCGCCCCGCCCCTCGCACCACAGTCGCAGTCCCACCCCACCTCACCTCGTCTCCGTCGGGCACGCCCCGACGCCAGAGCTCGCGCGCTCCCCGCCTCCTCCCTCCCGGGGCCGCGCCGCGCGCGCGCTGGTTCTGGGAGAGGCCCTGCAGTAGCGGCAGGGTTCCTCCCTCTTCGGCTCCTCCTCCTCCTTCCCGGCTCCTCCCCGACCACCCCCTCGGGCGCTCTCGCGCTAACTGTGCGCCTCTGGGCCCCGTCCGCCCGCTCCCAGCCATGGTGGCCTGGCACTCGGCGTTCCTCATCTCCCTCGCTTTCTCCTTGGCCACTCTGGTCCAGAGAGGTAAGGCGGGCGGGGGGCACGCGGGGACCCCGCCCTCTGGGCCCGTGGGGCGGGGGCCCTGCGCCCCGCGGGCCCAGTGGTGCGCATGAGCGGCTCGGCCCCCGCCCGAGGGCCTGCTGCGGAGGCTGCCGGCGGGCAGGCGGGGCCGTGCGGGAGGATGGGGCGCGGGTGCTAGCCCCGAGCCCGCGGGGGCTGACCCTGCCACAGCCCATGTGGCCGGTGGGAAGGGAACTGGACCCCTCCTGGTGCTGGGCTAGAAACAGCGGGATACTCCCCCCTTAAAATCCTGAACGAGGTGTCTCCGCCGGTGACAACACCTGTTCCCGGGAGATTGCCGTTGGAAAAACCTTGAAGAGAGCACTCATTCCCTGAGCAGGGCTTCTCAAAATGTGTTTCCAGGTCACCTGCATCAGAAGCACCTGGCGAGCTTCCTGTGCTCACTCCTGCTTTGTCAGGATCTCGGCGGGGATGGGGGGTGGACGGGGAACGGCGGTGTGTAAGTCTAACCAGTTCCCCAGGAGCTTCTGGTACCCGCCCCAGTTTTCGAGCCATTGGTGTTATTTTGCCAAGGAGGAGGAGAGAGAAATTCTACCAAATCAAGGAAGCAAGTTTCTTAGACCCTCGCTACTCAAAGTGTGGTCCAAGGCCTGCAACGACATCTCTTGGGGCTTGTTAGGAGAGCAGCATCTCAGGCCCAGCCCCTGACCAGTTACTGAGTCAGATTCTGCATTAACTAGATCCCCGGGTAATTCGCAGGCACATTTAAGTTTGAGAAGCATCTTCTTAGAATAAATGCAGTCTGTGGTTAAAAATAGGGTCGCCAAGGAGTCCCAGCAGAATCTTCTTACACTTAACTTACCTCATCTCCACATCAGAAAAAGAGGTTGAGGAAAACACTGCAGTTGAGCACAGAATTGTGCTCTGAGCTTCCTGACACAAAGGCAGATTCAGCTAGTTAAAACACATGAGCTCAGCAAAAACAAAACCGTGTCCTATAAGTGCGTTCTAGTGAGGGTTATGTTACTTATAAGGAGCACTGGAAAACAGTAGACAGTCCAAGGCAGTTTTGCAAAAGATGTAGAAATGTTTCTCCTGCGGGCAGCCCTCCTGGAGTCTGTACAAGAAGAGCCATTCAGCATTCAACAAAGGTGCCAGGCTCTGTTCTAGACACTGATGCTGCAGCCGTGAACAAAATTCAGGCTCTGTCCTCGTGGAGCTGACATCCTGATGCGGGAGAAAATAAGTGCAAACATCGCAATCTATATAAGTGCAGTGAAGAATAATAAAGCAAGTTACAGGGTTGTTGAATTTTGTTTCATTTTTCCCTTTGGGGTTAAGATTTTTATTTTGTTTATAATGCATTTGTGGGGAAAAGTATGATCACTTGATTAACTTGCATCTAATGATGTGGGACATTTGAAAGTGGAAGTGCAAAAAAGTTCGAAAAATGACACTCCCTTCAAGGCTGTCTTCTGCAAGTCTTCAACATGGTAGGCACGTTGAGAAGGTGAGGAATTTAAATGATGAGGTGTCAGGTTTTCATCATCACGGGTTACACTAGGTGATTTACAAAGTGGTGGGGGAAACGGCAAATGGGTGCAGCCGTTTTACAGATGAGGAGACGGAGGCGCACAGAGGCCAAGTAACTTGCCTCAGGTGGCAAAGCTAAGATTTGATTCCAGGCTTGTCTGATTCCACTGTCCTTGCTTTTAAGTACTAGGCATAATGCCTTTACTCCTGGAGGCTGCCCTCCTCCTACGCCTTACTGGCCAAGTGGCCTTGGGAAAGTGCCCTGAACTTGGTTCAGTTTGCTCATCTGTATAATGCCTAACAACTCATAAAGGTATCTCGAGGGAACCAGGCGTGTGTCACCCTCAGATTTGCAGCCCTGCCACCAGCTACCGTCTCCCGAGTGCTTGCTGTGTAACACTTCACATATATATTTTTTAGTTGCCCCAGGAGTTTGGCTTGTTAGGTATAATCCCAGCCTTCCAGATGAGGGGCCCCTGGTCACATAACTCAGAAGGATAGAGCCAGGATCCCACCCATTTAAGATTGCTAGCCAGTGATCTTTTAAAATTTTAATTAACGCTGAACCAGAAGAAGCTTTTGCTTCAAGGTAGGGCCCCAGTTTCCTGGATCTTTTGTGCAGAACAACATGACAAATACCAGTTTTGCATTGGTCCCCTCTGGGGATCTGGGCAGTTACAGTTTCAGAGCTACTGTGTCAAAATGAAGAAACACAAAGCAGGTCTCAGGTACCCACTGGCTCTCCGGGAGCCCCCAGGTGGTGGATCAGGTCGGTCTGCCCAAGAGCCACTTTCTCCTTGGTCCTGGTCCTCGGTAATGAGGTGTGACCTAGAAAGCCTGGCAGGCCTCAGGAGACACTCAGAACCTCGAAGCACGATTGTGAAATCCGCACGGACTCGGGCAAGTTGAGACAGGTTTTAGGCTCCCAGGAGTTTAAAAGGTGGTTAACAAGTCATTCCTGTTCTAATTACAGATGGGCTTTTAGTTCACTGTGCATTTTACTAGTTCTGAAAAATCGTCTGAGGACAGGTATGTCACCTGTCTGCACCTACAGAAATGGGAAGCTGTACTTTTGACTTCCGGGGAGAAGAATGTCAGTGGTACCGGGTGGGTAACAGTCATACGAGGGCTCCACTTCCACAGTGTCTTCCATGCGCCAGGCCCTCAGTGCCTCACACACGTTCACACCCCCTAACTACCCTGCAAGCTTGGCACTGTGACCCATCTTGTTTCCTGATGTTCACAATGGCTGTTTGCATACAGCCTTGAAAAGTAACTGAGTGGTAACCCATAACTCAGATGAAAAACGTGGTCCAGTGAGGTTTTGGACTTGAACCCAGGTTTATCTGAGTAACCAAAGGAGGGGTCATAAATGCAGATATATCCAGGGATGGGGCAGGTGACAGAAATGGGAGCCGTGGCCAAGAATGTGCGATGAGCCTGTTGGCAGATCTCCAAGTGCCTGCTCCTTTAAAAGAGAGGTAGCCCGGCCAAGAGGGAGAGTGCCAGCTGCTGCGGAGCAAGCCTGCCCAGCGCTACCACGGTGCAGGGCAAGTCACTTAACTGCTTGGTGCCTCAGTTTCCTCATCTGGAAAATGGGGATAATACCACCATCCGCCTCATGGGGTTGTTACTAGGATTAAATGAGTGCAAATGGATAAAGTACTTAGCACAACACCTGGCTCCGAGTGAGCTCTGTGCTAGTAACTTATTCCGAGCCACATTTAAAAAATACACAGTGCAAACCTTGAATATATTATGCTAAGTGAAGGGAGCCAGACACAAAAGCCCACATATTGCATGATTCCGTTTATATGTAATGTCCAGAGTTGGCAAATCCATAGAGACAAAAAGTAGGTTAGTGGTTGCCAGCGTCTAAGGGGAATGAAGAGTGACTGCTTAATAGGTACCAGGTTTCCTTTTAGGGTGATGGAAATGTTCTGGAACTGGATAGAGGTGGCGGTTGTACAACCTTGTGAATGTACCAAGAACCACTAAATTGTATGCTTTGAAAGGGTGAGTTGTATGGTATGTGGATTATATCTCCGTTTAAAATAATTCACTGCAGTCCAAGCAGAACAGATGAGGGAGGTGGCAGCATGTGACCCCTGGGTTGGGATTGGTCTTCAGGGCCCCTGAGTTTGGTCGGGCCAGGGAGAGCCAGAGCAGAGGGGTCCCCGAGTGCTGGTGGCGCTGGGATCCAGGCAGAAGCCCTGTGGGCTGACTTGGGCTATTGGGTTTGAGCCAGACAGACCCCTGGGGCACCTGCAGGATTGGCCCAGAGCTACTTAACCCTGCTTGCCTGAGTGCAGCAGTGGCCCCTGCAAAGGTGCATCCTGGGCAGGGGGGACCTTCCCTGCCCTGCATGGCTCAGGGTTGCCCTTATGCACCCGTCATTGCAGTGGACTGACAGGGTCTAGGGACTGTTGGCCTTTTAGTCTCACCTGTTTTGACTGGTTTGCAGCCCCTTCCTCACTGTCAAAAGTCACATCCCATCCCCTCCATCATTTTGGATACCAGGTAACAAAAGTGTGTGTGTTTCTTAAACACGTGCACACACAGAGAAATCACCCAAGAGTCAGTGTTAGCAGGCACTGGGGAGGGGCCTCCAGCAGAGGTGATGGCGATGAGGGTGATGAGGCTGTTTGGCAGCTCGCAGGGGAGCAGCTGATTTTGGTTTCTGTGAGTTCAGGAAAGATCCTTTCCAGGCGCACTGACTTTCCCGTTCTGGGTTCTTCCCCCGCCTGGTGATGGCGCTTTCCCTGCTGTGTGTCCACTCGTCCCCTTTGCACTCGCTATGTATTCCTCTGCTGCTCTTGGTGTGTGGCGGGGAGGCCCGGCTCTGGAGGTTCCTGTTCCCCAACCCAGGCTCGGCCCTCCCTGAGGCTGGCTCACAGGTCCACTGACTGGCCAATCTTGGTTTGCATGTAAAAGCCTAAAGTCATCCTAAATGCGTAATAGAAACAGGGGAGAAATCTTTCACGCAGGTCAGTGTTCCAAATGGCCCCCAAAGATGTCCATGCCCTAATCTCTGGAACCTGTGACTGTGGGAGGTTACATAGTGATTTCGGCCGGCAAGAGGACCTCAGTCTTTGTCTTCTTTGAGGAGAGAATTCAGCAAAGAGACTAAGACTGCAAAGCAGGTACAGACTTTATTAGAAGCACAGTACATGTGGGAGAGCACACAGGCAAACTCATGGAGTAGGGGTGGCAATGCCTTGCGCTCTGCGGTAGCTTAGGTAGTTAATGTGGGGTTAGTCTTCTGGGGTTTAGATGAGGGTGACCCTCCTTTTTTCTTCCCTATGATCATGTCATCTGCAATTCCTTATTTAGGCTTCCACCAAGCACTGTTTTTTTTCTTTAATAAATTTATGTATTTATTTTTGGCTGCTTTGGGTCTTTGTTGCTGCACGCGGGCTTTCTCTAGTTGCGGCGAGCGGGGGCTACTCTTCATTGCGGTGTGAGGGCTT